ACACACACACACACACACACACTACTATATATATATATATATTATTATATATATATATATATATATATATATATATATATATATATATATATGTATATATATATATATGTATTTTAATGTAAAACATGCAAAGTCACGTTTTTGTGTACTCGTACTCGAGGCCGTTCAGACTTGACACACATATATGTATCAAATCAAACTTAGCTCGCAGATGTATTTATCAAAGTGCACGTCTAAATACCTTCATATGCACCTCCGTGTATATTCTAATATATATACGTTTATTCCATGCAAAGCTCGCATATATACGTTGTGAAGTATATCATGTGTGTTTTTATTACACAGACGTAGAGGGCGTCTCATACGTGCGCGTCAACACCGATTCTCTGATAGAGCATAAAACCAACATATATAGAATCCGCAATGATGGGTTTGTCGTACGCCGCGGACAAGCTTTCAGCTTAGACATAACTACACAGAAGCCCTTGGAAGATGGCCAGGTATGTTGCACGTTCTTATGTACGAGTCGACTGATGAAAAATCAACTGAGCCATCCACAACACGTGTCTCCTCGTTCTACACTCAACTTTTGGGAGTACATATTCATGTGCGTGCAGTACTATGTACATTAAATCTTGAAACGCATGCTCGCGTGTACTTGTATTCTCTCACTGCCTTGCCAGACAATTGAGTTCGGATTCCAGCCAGAAGAGGTCAAGCAGACTCCGGTCGTTGAGACGAAACTCCTTGCAAACAGCGGGGCGAATGGGTATGTATGTACCACATCGCAGAATGTATTGTGGGGTGCAGATGTCTGTTCTTTGTCCTGCACTCTAATCACCGAGGATTGTGTCCCTAGCTGCGATTGTTTTCGCTTGATCGAGCGATATACATTAGCTACGCGGTCTTGGTGGATTGAGAATAATATGGCGAAAAATCTGCGAAAGCGGAATTGAAGCTTTGTTTACGACCATGTGCTGACTGAAGTACAGAGAAGAAATTACTTATCTCTATAGAAGAAGAATTGAAATTAACGCATGGCTGAACGAACTAACGTGCGAAAAAAACTACAAGCAAGTTCACTCGTAATTATATTGAATACAGTATCCAAAATTATCGCACTCAACCAGATTAGACACGCAAGAGCTACGGCCATATGTAGTACCCTTTGTGGAAAAATTCTGCGATGGCTCCAACTTTCGTTGCTTGCGCTTCATAAGCTGAATAGGCACATATGACGCAGCCAATAAATGAATATTTTATATGGCCTATACATGTTTCACGAGCCACTCTTTCAAAGAAAAACACGAAATGTCAAAGTCGTGCTGACACACGTACGTAGAAATTAAACGAGAAACACACACATAAATAGCTTCTCCCATGCATATGCACATGAGCATACTATGCTAAGATTCTGCACTCAAATTTATGATTCACAGGCACTCGTATAATCTCGAGGTGAAAGCAACTGCGGATGGTCCAATCGGGAAGTTTGATAAGGCGACCGTCTACATCACCAATTCACAGATTCAGAATGCGTCGGTACGTCGTGAAATGTTTGCAGAGGGAAATTCTATCTTATAAGTAATTAGTTTCAAAGCTTGCACCTCGAACGACATGCACATCCGATTTTATCGTCGAAGCTAGTAATGTGTATTCCTGATTTAGTCGCCGAAAGTACTATCAAGTAGACACTTGCAATTATTTTGGCCTTTATTTTTGCTTTTTGGTCTTGAATTATGGAGTGCAGAATCCATTTTATCTGTCGGGCCCAATCTACGTGATCTTTAATCCGTACAACAAAGCGGATGAAACATACTGCCCACATGAGGACATGCGCCGTGAGCTACTAGAGTACGAATACGGTCGCATCTACAATGGTATGGAACCCTATGCCTATCTATTGGATTCCTTTCTCGTTATTGATTTAAAGTAGTAGTGTTGGCTAGTGAGAAGAACGTCGTGTTGGACGTAAGATCACATTCTGGGGCTGCTTTTTATATATATATATATCGGCACAAATTACTGATCAATTACAAATCTTTGTCCTCCAGGATGGGCGCACGACTACTTTGACTACCTGTGGTACTTCGCCCAATTCGACCAAAGCACTCTCGATAGTGCCTTCTACCTACTGAGTTTGCCAGAGATGGACCAGCGTAAGATCAATAGTGCAAGCGACATTGCTACGTTTGTCTCCACCAACCTTGGTATGTGATAGGGTGCATCGTGAACTTAGAAAAGGTAGGAGGCAATATTCGTATATGTATACAACAATATGCGTTTATAATGTACGCGCTGGTAGTAGGGTACCCAATTGTCAATGCGAGCGCCATAGTTTTACATACAACATACGAATATGTCTGGAGCATGTCGAGAACGTTAGCTCGCCAGAGCTGTAGTGATAAAATACATCTGTGGAAAGGATTGAATATTCGAGTGTGAGTAATTGGGAATCGGTCAAAAGTCGAAAGCCTACCAGCTGCTGTCGGGATATTTTCAAGGTGCCCAGCGGTTGTTCGCTTTGAAAGACGGAGGGTCAGGGGTGTTGGTGTATAGTATATTGCTGTTTGTCGCCCTGATATTAACCAGGTACCTCTCAGTGAATAAGATGTCTTACGCTTTGGTGCATGTTTCTGATGCATTTCGTGATTTTTTTACCCTGTCTGGGGTTGATTGAATTTGAAACATCGTAAAATATTCCCGACATGCTCTCGTTTCGAGAGGGTCTTTGCGCAAACCTTGCATCTTTAACCAAACCGAGTCTGATTTATTTCGTATAAACATAGGGTGGTACTGGAAAAACGATACCGACCACTCTCAGGGCATTGTAGGAATTGAGAAGGGGTTGGTGCAGGGCAGGTGGTCCGATGATCTTCGAGACTATCCTAATGGCACTGATCCGGAAGCATGGACTAGTACCTTGGAAATCATCAACGAATGGAAGGTGCGATCTGGTTGCCACATACATTTGAGCTTACTAAGTCAAACCTGTTTCAATGCTTATGCATTCATTTATCGTGATGTGTTGCGTGTATTAATGAGTTCGATTCGCATTCTGTCTCTCCGCAAGCAAGGAAAGTGAATGCGATGCACTATTGCTCTTTTGACAAGTTTCTAAGCAGAAATTCAATTGGATTGTCGAATATTATTGATATTTGAATATATGCCTATTTATCCTACGATAGTGAATTTTCTGTGTGGGCTGTCTCCATATGTCATGTGATCTATGGCATGCGTGTATTGTAGTCTTCAGATATTAAGTGTACCAGATAAATACACGGAGCACTGACTAACAGATTCATCAACTTGCCTACACGTTGAATAACACCCATCAGGATACCGGAAGGTCTGCGAAGTACGGCCAGTGCTATATTTACGGCTCGATGCAGAACGCTATTTTTAGAACTTTGGGTTTCAGCCTTTGATGCGCGAATTGATTCGACAGCAAAGTTTTATTCGGATGGTATGAGCGTTTGACTGACTCCGCTTTGGAACTAAACTTCAGTAGGCCGATTTTTCTACAAGTTTACATTTTTTTATAGTTGGTGTGGCTTTGTTTGTGTGGTAGATGTTTCTGTCGTGCAGACTGATTGCTGGGATTGGCAAACATTGATGATCAGCAGTGAATGTGCATTCCTAGACCTGCTCTCCCCAGTTTTCCTTGGTACATTCTTGAACAGTAATGTGGTATTCCTGGAATTGTAATTTAAGCATTACCAGTGCACACTAGCCATTGTGGCAACGGACGTTCTGTTGACTATCTAATATGGCTTGCGAATTAATATGCCTGGTGAATTTGTACACCACACTTTAATTTAAGTTCTGGGCAGTAAAGTAGATTTGCACTTAAACATGAATTCAAGTTTTAGTTCACTTGCACACTAGTTAATTCAGTCTCACCGGTTCACAATCTGTGTAACTTAACATATGTCAGGCAAGAGACACCACGTCATCAACAAATACTATGATCACAAAGCAAAGGTGGTCAAAAGCGAAGGGCAGATCTGGAATTTTCATAGCTGGACCGACATCTATCTCAATAACTATCGAGAATATAGCGGACTTATGGCTATTGATGGCACCCCGCCAGGTGAGTTCTCGGATGGTTGATATATGAAGTATATATATACGTTTCAAAATAAGCTCACACGCTTTTGCTATAGTATTTGAACCCATGTTCTATAAACATTAACAAGTCAAGCAAGTGGGTGGCCTGTAAGTATTTGCCATTAGGTCTCTATTTCCATGGTCATATATTCAGTTTTGATGAAAGCAATTCAGTGCAATTGTTAGGTTGAATTGAAATAAAACTTTGTCGGTGAAAATTCAAATGCGATTTTTGGTACAATGGCTAAAAATCGATTGGTAAAATCGATTGGTAAATGCGGAGAAACAAACTATGGACGAAACTTTGTCTTTGCTTGGTAGTCGAAAAAAGTTTTACTGATG